CATTTGTAAAAATTCAAGACAATAAATTGTAATTACAAGGCACATAACAATGAATCATGAAATGTACGAATGTAATTGTAGTGTCTTGAAATCAACGTTCGATTTTATCTTAAGATCGAAAGCGACAATCCAAATATCTTATCTTAGATTAGACAATTGCATATATAAAAGAGAATCAGCATATTTGTTCTATACGCAATTTGATTATCACAAGTATTTATCGAGCTTTTATCTTTCATTATCAATTTTATCGTACGACCAAGAAAATCAATCATCATTTTAATAATACCGACATCAATTTCTACGATTAATAAAAGATCTGAATCTGACAAGTTAGATCTAATCGAGGCATTGGAGCGTAGTATTTAAATTCGCTCGTTGTCGTAAAGAAGAGGTATCTCTAAAGATGACTGTGGAAAGTCCCGCGTTCGTTTCTCAAGTTTTGCTATTAATGCCACTTAGCCAGCTAGCCGGAACGGTCCATGATTGTCGCAGTCACTCGCTCGGTGAGAAAATACTAATTGCAATTTGTGACGAAGAGTACGAAGAATACCCCGAAAAAGTGGAGCGCCGCTCTAGAAAGCGCAGTATCATGGCTTGAAGTGACTTTTCGAGTCTCTTAGGTGCTCTTAGGCGTTTACTTTGAGAACTCTTGTCAGCAATATAAAAAAGAGCGAGGAAAGAAGACGACGCGTGAATGATGATTTTAATTGCGAACGCACAATTCACAATCTCATACCCCAAAGAAATGTATTGCTCTGGACGAGATCGATCTGTCGATTTGGTTTTTTGTCTTATATTTCATGACGCCTCAGGAAGAGAAAGAATGATGCGTATATATAATTACACGAAGCGAGCAGTCAATCCCTAGTTGAAATAATCACCGGTACTGTTATCGCCAGACCGTCAGCCTAAGTCATAGCCAGTCGCGGATTGATGTAAATCTTGGCTTTACATCGAAACGTGTCGGAAATAATATTTGTAGAATATTTATGTCATAAATAAAAAATATTTGTAGAATATTTGTCACAAATAAAAAAATATTGTATAATATTTTTATCTCATTACATATTTAAGAAATTAAAAAGATGATTTTAAAAAATATTTTTATGAAAAATGTGTGTGTGTGTATAACTCTTTTAATACACAGAAAGGTATAAGTTATATAATTTATTTAACACTTTCTGTTCTGTGTCGGTGATCCACTTTCCATTTGCCATTTTTTCAAATATAATACGATTTCAAAGATAACACGATAGAACATGTTAAATAATGACAAAAAATTATTTTATTATATTATTTTGGAACAAAAGAAACTTTCAATGGAGATGCATTAAAATTGTTATATATGATATATTTTTGCATAAAATTTCGAGTTTTCCAAAAACATATTTTACCATAAAAGAAGTGGAAATTTTTATATTCATGAGGAAAAGATATATTTAGCTAAACTAAAAACAAGTGTTACATCTTCTGAACTGTTATATAATGTCTGTTCTTTTTTTGATAAAAAGGCTTCTTGCACAGTTTATCTTTTCTATTTTTATCTTCAACAGTGAAAAGAAAAAGAGGAACGATGAACCGTGCAAAAAAAGAATAGACCTAGTATAACGACTGTCGTTTAATCATGAACAGAAGAGACAATAGTGCTTTCTCCTTTGACGATTTGCATTTTCCAACGAACAAAGACGATGACGACGACGACGACGACGATGACGACGAACGGGCGGATGGGCGATCGTCTCCACTTGCTGCTCGCAGGTCGAAAAAGCATCGAGTGTGACCAGATACTGTTATTCGAGGCTACATTATATGCGGTTGCCGTTGTTGTTCTCCCCGTATCTCATTTGTACCCGTGCGCGCGGCAATGCTTATTACACGATGCGCGCCTCGCAAAATTTTTCCACGTGTAACTGTTCTGCTGAAGGCGTAAAAGGCGAACATAAATCGCCGCGTTGGCTGCGTAACACGTGTTTACATATGCGAATACCCTCTGCACACACCCGGCACCGATTCTTCATATCCTACGCTCATACAAATTAATTTATCGCCTCGAACTCGCGATATTTTCATGCAAATCGTTTCGTATTATGCTCGTTTACAGCTGCTCGGATTAATTAAACCATTGTGTGATTTCAGCATCGAATACAATTCGACGATACCGCCACACGTACCTTCGAGTACCCCAGCGAAGCGTCGATCCTCGAAGGCGAGACCAGCAGCGTGGATGGCGAAACTTCCAGTTCCGTAGTCGAGCAACATTCTACGCCGAGTAACAACAAAATCTCTTCGACACCCAGCTCGACAACGAATATGCCATCCCTTCTCGGTAAGATCAAACTTGAGTCTCATTTGTAGTTTGACAAGATATTTTTGCAATTACAATGACATGATAATATAATTAAGTAATTAACGGAAATTATTATATCATAAAATACTCCAGAGATATCATTGAAAATCCTAGAAAATGTTTTATCTTATAATCTTGTCACTTAATCAATAAACATATATTAAGCAGATAGAAAAGATAGAAGCAAAGTAAATACATCCGTGCTACTTGACACTTGTTATCTACAGGTGGAGGTGGACTAGCCAGTTACACTCCTAGCAAAGTGGATCTGACGTCGGAAGGGTTCGAGCTGGGTATCACCAGAGCTATACTGATGGTTCCGACCCCAGCTGCAACAACAACAACAACCGAGCAAACCGATAATACAAGCGAAATGGAATACTTGAGACCGGCTCAGGACGCAGGCGCTTGGGGCTCGGAGACGACCGGCGATCTTCTTTATTAAAAAGAAATGTAGAATGATATTTTATCATTCGCAAGCTCAACGTCCCTTCGCAGTAATAGAACGAACGAACGAAAAGAGAATGAAACTTATAAGGCTAATATTAAGTATTCCTTTTTTTTTCCTAGCGGCGAGAAAATCGCAAAAAACTACACAAATGCAAAAGAATCGATATATTATAATAAACTTTAATAAAAAAAGATTACGACAAATGCTCACATAAGTATATAAAGCGAATTTTTCATAGAAAACAGGTTTAGACGTTCGCGTTCATGACCGGACGACATGTTGGACCACAGATAAGTTATCGTCAAGTGCACATTAAATTAAGAAAACTTTTTTTAATTATAAAGAAAATCAAAAGCGCAATCTCCGCTCATGAACGCGCCGAGTATTGAAAGCGAAGTTTATTTAGATGATTAAGTAAAAACTAACAGTATCATTCCAAGTATATGCATTTACTTTGTATTGTTACGCTATACAGTCAAATCAGCGGACTTTTCTTACACAATGAATCATCGAAACTGCCAAGATACGCTATATAGTGCTGCTTTTTTTTATAATAGCACTTGAAAGAAAGAGCTCAGCGACTGATACTCTGTTGCTTAAAAGAAAAACAAAATAAAAAGAGCATATCATCTTTCTGGCATACTTTATAAGATAGAAAATAAATCGACGAGAGAATCGAGTTTTGTAACCTTTTTGAGATTACTTTAATGCTAAGCTGTGAGTGTTCAAGCTGCCAGTAAAAGGCCAGACTTTTATGCGAGTTTTTTTGTAGAAAAAAAGGCAAACGAGTTGAATGTCTTTGAGATTTAATTGGAGGAGGAAAATGTTCAGGAAAAAAAAAACAACTCGAGTTTAGATTTGTAAACGTTTTTGCCAAAGTAGAACGTAAGTCTACTTAGTATATTTAATAATGTATATGTACAATAAGTGTTCCAGTTCGACAAAACTGTAAGAATTGTAAATTTTAAAGCACATCGTCATTTGTACCGAATGTATGGCAGATCATACTATGCCTTGCAAATGCGAAGATAAGCCATTACAGCGTGTCTTTTCATATTGAGTTTGCATTTATTTTTCAAGGATCATAATACATAAAACTAATAGCTTTTCAGCATAGAAGTTGCATAGGTGAAAACGGCGGTTTAATGTTAATTATTAATTTTAAGGAAATTGAATTTTGTAAATACTAAATTATTGTTGGTCTAGAAGAGCCATCCAAGATAAGTTAATCGAGTCACGGAAGTTCGAGAAAAGAAATTACATTACTTTTAAGATCAACTTTCTTGTATTACTTTTGTCATTGTTTCTTTGTGTTAATTTCTTCTGTCATCTATGAAGCACATCTCGGATGCGTTATCATGGATAATTGAAAATATTGTTTTGAATCGTGTAGGTGTAGGTATTTAATAATGTATGATTGTACCGATATGTAATATGATTTTACGACTTGGACAGTAGACTGATTCAAGCAAGAGAACGCGATAAAAAGATAATTTATTATGAAGATGCATTAAAAGTAAACTACTGCCGCGTTTTGTTAGAATTTCAAATATATTTACTTTATTTAGATGCTGTACCAGTTCACCGAATAGTTTACGATGTATCGTTGTTTGAAAGACTCGTTCTTGTGTCACAGCGTTGTGTCTTACACTGTGATATTTTTGTTAATCTTTTTCTAGTATAAAACATAATTTCCAATTATTCGTCAGACCCAGCAAGTTGTTGATACTCTTTGTATCTTGTTGCTACAATACACGAACATTGCAAAAAGCAAATCAGATTACGTTTGTGCAACATTCCAAATTGAAATTATATACGTATAGATCTTTTTTTTAATTTGTCAATTATTTAATCACAATTGTAATCTCTTGGCTCCAATACAGGAGAGCTGTGTAACAGTTTTGTAAATTACCGTTGTACAGAATCACGAAATACCACGTTTCAAGTGGAACAATAATAAGTGGAAACGATTGTGAGGTGACTATTAATAACTGAAGCTTGGATCTATATTATTACCTTCTTAAATATGTAAAAGTATTGTGTGATGTATCGTCTATGTGTTACAAAGTATCGAAGTAATAAAAGAGACAATTACTCCTTATTTCTTATTCAGGACTCTCATCTATAAATATCCACAAGATCAAAAGAAAGCAGTAAAACGTTATAAAAAAATTAATTCTATTTATTTAAATAAATGGACAATGTACAAGTTGAATGAATGAGTCATATTTTGTGATTCGGGTTAGAAAACAGTCTTAAATATATTACAGGACTAGCATTAAATTAAGCTTAAACTTAAACTAGTGTTATTTGTATATGGAAGTATAATATTCTTCTTCCAGATCGTATAAATCCGCAGCCATGTCGTCCCTCAGGGAAGCCAGTTTTTGATCACATTCTACTTGCTTAGTCCTAAATAATTTGCCGTTTTGTATTATAGCGTCATTTACAGACGGAAAATCATTCAGAATTAAATATTGCTTTATGTCAGAGACTAGTTTCATTAATGATTCGCCAGCACGCACAATATTAGCTGCTCTGACATGCATTTCATATGTATCTTGCTCGCATTGTGTCATTCGAGATAGTTGAGAGTCATTTTCTCCTTTTGCGAGTTTAATTATCTCTGAAAATAGTAGAATTAAATCAGAATTAAGATAGATATTAAAAATTAATAAAGATAATACAAATTATTAGATTCAGTTATCTGATATAAATCTTTCTCCTCCCAAATCTTATATATATATAGAGAGAGAGGTAAAAATTGTATTTATTATATGAAGTATTAAATTTTACTAAACGCTACTATGCTAACATTCTAATATTAATGCAGTATGAATTTTTATTTCTTTTAATTTTATTATATGATATAATTTACAGTGTTAATAATTACAATTTGTTTTCACGTTTATTTTTCTATATTGCATCTTTAATACTAATAACTAATTTTTGTTTTATATTTTTATGTTACGTTATGTTTTTAACATTTCAATATTTTGAATTATATGTAATAGAATATATTCTACTACAATGTTATAATTTATTAATTGAAAATTACATACAAAAATGAAAAAAGAATCCTTTTATTCTCATATACATATTCATTTCAAATTCATATATACATTCTAGATACATTTTGAGAAATTATACTTAAAATTATAGAATTAGCTTCGTCAGTTGTTCACCGAAAAATTTCAATTCATTCTTACTATCCAACATAAGAAATATTGAATAAATATATATTCTAGAAAATATTGTACTATAAAGAAAGAGAAGCAATTCTCTAAATAAGTTGTGGTACTTGGTGTCTCGGAAGATAGAAATACAAATAATTGGAGCATCAAAATTACATCAAAATGAAGCAAGAAATTTCTTGTATAGCTGCACTATATTATACTTTTTGCAGTTAAAGTATATATAATTAAAGGAAGAAAAAGAGAAGAAAGAAAATTTAACTATAAAACCCAGAAAGTTCAATAATAAAGAACGAACTCTAAATTATTGGGGGCGAAAACGCCGGGGGAGTTACTCCCACCGGTTAGTGACATTTTCTGTCTTTAGTCTCATCTTGAGGTTATATGATGCCTAGATACTACAACTCTTGTTACGATTCAAATTAACTATTTGATGTAATTGCAGAGGCGAAGACGCCTACGAAAATAGGTTAGGATATCTAGAGGTTAGAAAAGTACCTTCGAAATTTTCCAGCATGGACTTCACGTCGTCCTTTAACCTCGTCGTGTATGATTTCAATAACGCCTCTTTACTCTGAGGAAGTGCACGTTGTGTGGCCATTGTATCGCACTAAAACGGAATAACATGTGCAACCAGTTCAACACTGTCCGACTGTCAACGATGACAAGAAGGACCTGGAAGGATCACGCAGTGACGCAGACACAAAAAAAATGACAGGCAAATTTTTTACAACGGAATGAACGAAGTCGCGGATAGAAGAGAAGGGGATAAATCTTGCGCTGTGCGCATGCGTAGAGAAAACGATACATATACCACATATGTATATACGCTGTTATATTTTAGGCACGTATATATTTACTTATGTAATGCGTCATCTATACACGGAGTTAGGGTGTTATTTCATTTGTGCATTTTTGTCATACGACAAATATGTGCAGGACAGAGAAGTTCTCGGATCTCTCTATCCTATAGCCAATCAACAGGTTTGAAAAATTTGTCGTACGACAAAAACGCACAAATAAAATAGCGACTTGAAGTAAGAATAAGAAATTGACCAATCACAATCGATTATTCTGCTCACATTCGGCTATGATTGGTTAATTTCTTATAGCGAATTCGATTGGACTCAGTGCGCACTAGTACAATTAAAGCCGTTGTACATAAAATAACGTAAAGAAATGTTTATAAATAAACATAGAAATCAACCAAATCATGAAATAATCAGTATATTTTATTGTACTATTAGGTAAAATATGTATTTCATAATTTTAAATATTTGTATTTCATTTTTATACTCAAATCAAATCAGTGTACAACGGCTTTAATATGCACCAGTGCGCACTAGTGCTTCCAATCGAATTCGCCATATAACTCTTCTTACTCCATGTACTGTAGACAATGCATTAGAGAGATGATACAATGTAATTATTCTAATTATTAATTAAAAAGTTGTTGGGTAATAGTCAAGAAGAGTGAGTTCCTCACCGATCTTGATGGAATTAGACTCATTCCGCGTTTTTACACGAAATAAACGAATCTGGCAAAAAAAGTTTTGCTCTGCTTCCGTGGACCGAGATATTAAGCGTTAAGGCCATCACACGTACAAAAATTTTAGTTGTAATCGTAAGGTCGCAATAAATCGACCAATCAATCAAAATTATGATCTCGCGTTTCAAAACACTCGACTGTGATTGGCCGATTTGCTTACGGCCTTACGATTACGACTAAAATTTTTGTACGTGTGATGGCCTTTAAAGTTGACGACTATTGAGGTTAGGAAATCTACCATAGTGGCGAAATATTGCGACGCAAGTATATACCGCGGTCACTTTAGCGTAAATCAAGCCGTGTTAATGTAGTCGACGAAATATTCGCTAAAAAAAACGCTACTCTGCTTTTGCTATGTTTGAAAAGTTGTAAACTCGTGGAATCGTTCGTGGGTTTACAACTTTTTACGCGAAGCGCGGTTCTACATAGATTTTCAAGTTTGCACGCACAAATTTAAGCGAGATTTAATTTTAAAAAAATTAACTTTGGTTTTACGAACGATTTGGTTTATGATGTAACAAATTCGATGTTAGAATCTCTCATTTTTGTCATCATCATTATTACATTCAGCATCTTATACTATAAAGGAATATTTTAAATATTTGTGAATATTATTAAATTTCTTCTCATTCATCGAAATAAAAAAAAATGTGTACATACTTATATTCATTTCTAATGTAAATGAATTTTAATCTCCATTTAACTTACTCTTTATCCTTTTCTTTTAATTCTTAAAACTAAAAAAAAAGATAAAGAGCAAGTTAAACCGAGATTAAAGCTAATCTATATCAATAGAAATAAGAATTATCAACGCAATATTGTGACTCAAATCACCCGCGCCATATTGATTTTCACACAAAGGCGAGCGCCGTTTTCATGGAGCCATCTTTCCTCACCCTCTCGAGTCACTCTCGAGCCCTCTTACCCTCCGCCTGCTGTTCCATCGTATTCTACCCCACTCGACTCCCTGTTGACCCTCTAGCTAGAGGGTTGAGAATCGATATGAATACGCCCGCGAAGCGCGCTCACCGCTGAATCTCTCCGCAACTACGCAAAATTCCCGGCCATGCGAAGGCAGAACATGCCCTTGCGCGAGACCGATGGAAGCGGCGGAAGTACGAGCGCCTTCCCCAGTCCCCTCCGTTCCACCAGCCGCTCCAGTCGCGGGGTGACCGCGAATCGCTGTTCCTCACGCGCCTGTCCGACGAGGACGGGTATCGAATCGGGCTCGGTCCCGATATATCTCCAGGGGGTGGCCACCCTCGCCTGCCATTCGCACGCGAAACTCGTGCGCGACGAGTAATCCGAGCGGACCTGACTGTATCCCATTCCGGCGAGTATTCCAATTCGAGAATTTTATCAGTTCCCAACTCCTGACGTGCGGAGAATCATGGAAAAAACATCTCCTGCAGGAACGAACTCGTAAAAAGTTAAATAAGAAACGAAGAAATAGAAGCTTCGGGAGAAGGTTTCTGTTCGTCGGAATTGATTTTGGTCGATCGTGGTGAAAGAGGAGAAAGAGGCGAAAGGCGTCGAGGTGGACGAAGGACGAAGAGAAGAGTGACATTCGCGCGAGGAGATTCGCGGGCGATCGAACGTGTACGCAGCAGCGTCGTGAAGAGGGTGATAGAGAAAGAGAGGGAGAGAGAGAGAGAGAGAGAGAGAGAGAGAGAGAGAGAGAGAGTGTTCGATTAGTCTGGCGACGAGGTCGATCGGGCGAGGACGATGGCAGTGAGCGCTTTCTCGACGACATTGCACACCACCGATTTTGCCACTACGTGTCCCACTACACCCGGTATGTCGTAGAAGAGTGCTAAAGAGCGAGAGAGGGAGAGGGAGAGAGAAACGTACGGTTTTAGCGAGCGCGCGTGAAAGCAAGTTCCGCTGCTGGCGGAATGGCGAGCGGCCTTTCTCGACAATGCGCAATGTTGCTGGGCTTAATTGTGATTTTAATGGCAGCGCTCTGGACCGAGGCGTTGCTACCACCCGAAGACGAGGAGGAGAACGTCCTGCACATCGGTGGCATCTTCCCCGTAGCTGGAGAGGGCGGTTGGCAAGGCGGTCAGGTAAGAGAAAGCTCGACGTCCTTTCGTCTCAAATGTACGAAAAATCGCGTAGGGGGTAAACAAAGGGACGATTTATTTATTCATTAATGATAAGATATTTAACGTCTTTTTACTTATTGCACGTAAACCGAGAAGATGCAGACATTACAACTAGCTATGTACCTTTTTTCTTTAGATAATTCACTTAACGCCATGAATGCTTCGAAGTATTTGATTAATAAATCAGAAGAGAGAATTTTATTAACTGATCAATTACAGAATACTTTAAAGGATTTGTAGGTATCAAGTGGACCATAGCCTTTGAGATAGAATGTTGAGCAACTGGTAAACGAAAACGGAACCAACGCTCCGTTTCCAAGGATTTATTTGTCAAAATTAATCTTCGATCGTTAATTAATGTGCGCAGTACCGATATTGATAAAGTTGATGATAGACCTGATATTTTCTTTGCTCGAAACTTTCATATTTACGGAAGTTTTAATTTATCCTCTCAGAAGCCAAATCGCTCTATTCCGTGGAAAAAATGTAGAAAATTTAAAAAGTTACAAGCTAATTGTGTTCTTTGATAAAATTAAAGAATTCACGAGAAATCAATCAATTTGACTTCTAAGAGGCTCATTTATCCTCTTTTTACATTTATCTCGCAGTGATATCCTTATGAATTCGGTAAGAGATATGATGAATATCCTTGCTCATTTTTACACACATTTACGAAGGAAGATGAATTGTTACGCGATATCGTGATTGCTTGCAGCTTCCCTCGTTTCCTTTCATCCTCCCGTCTTACGTCTTTCGCTTCCTCTCACTCACGAATTGTTCGATAAACGACCTTGTGACGTCGATAGCGGGAGCAAAATTTCTGAGAAACTTCACGAGCCGTTCCAAAACTTTAGAGATCGAATTCCAGAAGTTCTCTCATAACGGCGAGTAAGTTTACTCATGGAAGAACATCTTTTTTTGTCCCGTGTTCAAAAGTCATGCGCGTCGAAGCGTTCTTAAAGCCGGAAAATCTCGAAGGATCGAGTAAAATCCTTAACAAATTTAGTGAAGTACGCATTTCTCACGAATAGTTAAGATTTAAAAGCTCCTGGATCTGCAACGAAAGAACAACAAAGATAATAATAAGAGTCGAGAAATCGCTGTTTAGTAACTCGCTTCTCTATTTTCGCGTCGTGATTATCTCTTGTCATAATTATCTCTTGTTGGAGATTGTATTTTCTTTCGCGTTGCTATTTGATATTCCGCGGTAATTTACAGAGAAAATTCTACATGAGGTATTCATTACTTTTCGTCAATTCGCGTTTAAATTGCAAATGGTTACTTTACAGTATTGCGTTATTCTACGATGCAGTTACACTGTTAAATTCATATTGTCAAATTATACGTAATTTGAATTATTTTTAATCATTTCTATGGGTCGCCATTGCTTCTATTCAATATGTCGGTAATTTAACTAAAACAATGGAGTTAAACAATTTAACATGAAATTATATTAAATTTGACCCAAATTTAGCTTATTATATTTACTAAATGCATACGTTAATATAGACGTGGTTTACTTTGAAACAGAAATGATTTACATTTTGACGCACATGAAAGTTAAAAATGACAAAATTTAACTTAGTGGAATATGTACCATCGTTCTAACAGTGTACATTTAATTCGTGTCTTACTTAAAAATTAAACGCAATATGATTTATATACCAAAAAAAATAAAAGAGCGAATAATATTTTCATTATTTTTTTTTTTTTAATAAACGAAGTAATATTTAATTCACTTTACGATTAAACGCGATGGTAATCTATTCTTTTTACGCGGTGCAAAGTTGATACAACCACGTAAAGTAATCTGCATACTCAATGAACTGTTTCGAAAAATTCTCCCGCAAGTTTATCGAAAAACTATTCAATTTCTGAAAAACGTTTTATAATTTTATTATTTTTATAATACACACTTTTCGAGCACGAGGAAGCTTTAAACTGTCTGCATAAATGAGCACTATTTATTCGGCTAAAACACGACGCAACTTGAATGCATTTTCAGTTTTTCATAGATATTCTCCCAGTATCATTTTAATACTGTTGCGAAATTTTTCTAGCGAATATGAAAATCGGAA